GTGAGGACACCACACATAAATTTGCCATCCGAACTACTGGTTTCTGGGGATTATTGTCCATAATGCGCATGGCAGGAAGCTTACTCTCAAGGTCCAACCTTGTTGCACTTATAAATGCAGTGAACTGCAAGCATTTTATGATTTCCAGATTAAAATATATTAGCAAGACCTTCATGGAATTTTTGAAATGTTAAAAATAGAAGCCATGCATATTACCCTCTTGTCTATCTCTTCAATGATTTCCATATGGCGAGGAAGTAGTTTCCACATTACGGGTTGAGACCATTTTTCCAGTGCCTCAGGGAGGACAGTGTGGTTAGTGTAAGCAATTGTCCTGGTTAGCGTACATCACATTTTAGCCACAAGGAGTGCACTAAAGATGTTTGAGAGACACAAAGATGGAAGATTACTGATGCTTATGATATGTGAAAAATTTAAAAATTCACCGGACCTTGTCGTCACATCCCATGCTTCATCCCATCCAAGGCCTTCATCATCCATCAGTAGTCGCATTAGCTCTGGAATTGCAAGGGTAGGATGAGTATCATTAAGTTGCACAGCAACCTTGCTAGGGAACTCAGACCATGTCCAAGATTCCTTTCCATGTCTCCTCTCTTTAAACCGAAAAATTATGTCCTGAGGTAGGTCCAAGATGAGAGGGAAATAGTGAAAAGCATGTCAAACAAGAGAACTGAGCACACAAGTAAAGTGAGTCACTTAAATGTCAATTGTACTTAAATAGCCACAATATTGAGAAATAATACATTCTTTATGACATTAAAGAATATGATCTGTCAGCTAATGTGTTAATTAAAAGACTGCCAGTAAGCAGATGATCTAGTTTTCCTTAACTCATGTTAGTAATCAGAAGAATCTGTAGTCGCAGCAATTGGCTGACATGTGATGTTGATTATCACCAACCAATTCTCCCAATGTCTTGAGCTGTTAAGAGGCTTGAGAATGGTTTGTTATCATCTCTAACACACCCAATTGAATCAAAACCCTTTGAACTTGAAGCATGGACTGAGCATAAGCTAGACATACCTGGTGCTAAAATTTATGTCTAATTAAGAAAATGGGATGGCTGAGACTGAACTCCTTAAGCTCTTGGACTCTAATATCATCTCAAGCACTTCCTCTTCCAGAAAACTTAGGCTATTATGACAGGCTCAATCATGGTTGTATGATGTCTCTAGTAGTGACCATTTGATTCATATATCTCAAACTTTAGAATAAAGGACGTGTAAACTTTGAATTCAGACAGCCTCAGTTAGAGCATATGCAAGTGCAAAAACTAGAAGAGAGGACAAGAACTACAATACAAATAAAAATCGCAATGAAATGGGGAGCTCTTCAGAGGATATGTCTCACCTGGAGTGATGCACTGCAGAGAAAGAATTGCTGCTTCAGCCTAAGAAGTTTCCCGTCTTCCGTAGCATCCCCAGGATACAAAACCGCACAAATCTAGCATTTTCAAATTCAATATAAAACAGCTGGTCCTTTATATTTCTCTTTTGGGGAGTGGGGTGTAGTGGCGGAGGTAGAAAATAAATTATACTAGCATTTGTTCTAAAAATGAACTTCAGGCAAAGATAGATCTATCTCTTTATGCATTTGCTCTTGCAAGGGAAATAAAGGTCTTTTGCAAAAAGATTAATTGCTCATTTATGATTGATGAGAAAAGAAAAGCCGGTCATCAATCATCCCTGTGGAAAACAGCCAGCTTTCGTTAAAAAAGTGATAGAAAGCCACAATACAAACCTGTTGAGCTCGTGAATGAAGAACAGAAGCAGATTCATGTTGTCCATCATTAAATAAAAACAAATTGAAATCCTCTGCACAAGCTTTTGCTTCCCAAAGGCGAAGACTGATGGTATTCTTGGTTTGGTATCCTGGAATTGGCACATCATATGCCAACGCTTGCATAACTTCTCCTCCAACCCACTTTCGGCTGGCATTCACACCAAATTTTCAAGTAAATTATATCAATGTTTATAAATAGATTGGAGCTTTTCATTACATTTGAATTAAGCTTATTTTTAAATCAGACTATAAAACATACTTTTTTCATCATTCAGTACTTCAATAATTTAAGGAGTAGATTTCCACTTACCTTCCATTAGGATTAACCTGAACATGGCCAAAGAATCTGACAGGGTACAAAATGTCATGCCTAGCAACTTCCCAGGGGCTAAACTTCTGCTCAGTTTTCATTTGAGTCCGTCCATCAGTTTAATGTAAAACATGAGATACATTTCCAGTGATTTAAAAGAAGATAAATCAAACCTCAAGCCAGTCCTCTGCAAGTTCCTCCTGGCCTTCCCTGGTGATTATCTGCTTAAATAGCCCATATCTATACCTCAGACCATAACCCCAAGCAGGCAAATTGAGTGTTGCCATGGAATCCAGAAAGCAAGAAGCAAGCCTGCCCAGACCACCATTTCCTAAAGCTGCATCTTTCTCCTGCAATGTTTTAAGTGGGATTATTATTAAGATGCCAAAGATATCAAATACATTTATGATATGAACCTGCCCAGTCCTTTGGTTTTTACCTGCTCTGCTATTTCTTCAAGTTTGAGTCCAAATTTGCGCAAAGCATCAGCATATGCTTCTTGTATATTCAGGTTTCCAACTGCGTTAGTCAAAGCTCGACCTTGAAGATACTCCATTGATAAGTAATATGTTTGCTTAGGATCAACTTTGTGAAAATGGAGGAACGTTTCATTCCATTGCTGAAAAAGTCATCAATATGTGGAAACAGCATTAGTCTAATCATCTGATATAAGAAAATATAATAATCTGATACTAAAACTAGTTTAAAGGATGACTGAAAAATTCCCTAATTATTATGACTTCAAAGTTAAATAAACTACAGCGACGCACACAAAATTTCCCTCTTGACTACAAATATCAGTTATCATTGACAATATCAGCATTAAAATTTATTTTAAAAGATAGAAATGTTTATATATGTTACCTAATTCAAGTTTCCATGGCATGGAAAGATTTGAAAAGGTTCCCATATATATGCACTACTGAACTAAAGCTTATCTCAATAGAAATCGACCACAAGTGTTATCAAGAGTCAAGATATTTCACAGAGGTAATCAGTATCCATGTTTTCCTATAGGAAGTGCACTGTTGTTCCATGTCAAACACCGACAAATCAAAAAATCATCAATCAAAATTGGACTTCGTTACAAGAAGCATGGACAATAATATAGGACATTATATCGCAGAATGATGGTGTGCGAGTAATTTGAAATGAAATGTGATGTTGCATCTGACACGTGTATTGAACACACGACATCCATAAATAGTACCATACTCGAATGAGACGATCGCGAACACTCTCAGCGGTGGCAAAGTAAGCTTGCTCCAGCTCAAACTTGAAAGGAGTGAAATGAGCGCTATACTGCGCGTGGTAATTGATGTCTGACGCAATCTCGTCAGGCTTTTCAGCCAACGGGTTCGCCACCGCCGGAAGTTTGGCAGAAACAGCAGAAGCAGAAGGAGCGCCGCTGCCATTGACCTCCACTTTCCCCGCCATTTCCGATCTCAAAATCAAGCTGTCAGCCATTAAAAAAAAAAAAAGTCTTTCCGTTAGCCACTTCATTAAGGCATAACAATTGATCACAAAGCGGAAAAACCCAACCAATACAACGCCAATCGAAATTCTCACTAACAAACAGCAACCCAGTCGAGAGTATTACCTCTTCAAGCAATTCTAAGATTGATAAAGTGATAATAATTTTGGTTGGAAGAAGATATTTAAGGAAGCGGCAGGCTCGAAGAGAGAATCTAGAGATATGCTAAGAGATACTTCAAAAGAGAGCTATCATGTGGAATAGGAGGGACTTGGAGTGTTGCGAAAAAAGTAAAAATATCTGAGATGGTCCTTCGTTCTTTTCTTGGTAGGAAATGAAACGGAGTGAGACTGAAGCGAGAGCCGTATGAGAGTGTGGGACTAAAGGCCCTTTCTGGATGTGACATTGGGATCACAAACGAGATAGTTTTACAACGGTGAGGCCGAAGACACGTGGCAGCATTCAATGGAAAGCGGGAACGGCGCGAGGTTTGAGATGGCGGTTGATCGTTACGCGCGAAAATTATTGAGTTAATCATGTACTCCTACATAATTTATTTTTATAAAATTATCATTATCAAGTTGACAAATTTTTATCAGAATAAAATTTTCAAGTTGAGAAAGAAACGCGGCGGAGATTGATCTTTGGGGAGAGTGATTTGTCGTGTAACGAATATTTTCCTATAATAAGAAATTGCTTAAAATCTGCTAAAAGAGGAAAACATATCTTAATTTTTTCACTATATAATAATGATCATTGGTCAAGAAGATATTTTTATGAAAATACCATAAAATTTTAATTCAATAAAGATATAGTAATGTTTAAATAATTTGATATTCTCAGTATGCGTTTGAAAACAATAGACATTGATTTATTTGGCAAAAGAAATTAGACAATAGTTCAACTCTATGGTTATTTTAGAACTTCATCAAATTTGTAGGGTAAAGTGAAAAAATTATGAAAACGTGTTATTTTTTAAGGTGGCAAATTAATTTGAATGAAGTATGCATAATTTATTAGGAGAATTACAATCAAATCTCATACAAGATAAATAACTACTAAAAAGTCCAATAATAACATAAGCAGCCTGTAATGACAAGTTCTAGAGTAGAAAATAACAACTTCTGAAACTTGTTTTGTAATTTTTTTTCTTGCATGGAATCTCATTGTAATTCTTCCTAATTTATTTTCACGCTCACTACTTGTTTTTGTGGCCATATTTAAGCTGACCTTTACAAGTCGGAAAGCAAGTCTCTTTCTCTCACAGGGTGCATTACCCTTACGCAATCTGTCATATCCGCTACACCCGCCCTATGCTATGAGCTTAAAAGACTCATTATCTCAAGTACTATTAATTTCTTTGTGAATATCCTTACTTTTTTTTTTTAATATTCTTAATTTGATCCCTTCTTATACCTGTGGGTGATGATGGTACATCAAAGTCGTTCAGTTTCTTAACAAATCACACCAACCAATAGATACCATCAACTACAATATACTGCAGCCCAATGTAACATGAACAACACCTTTCCCCATTCGAGATTACAAACTTAACACAAAAATCTTGAGGTTTACAGGTCAAATTCATGTCTTAAATTCTACCAAAAAAATGTATATAAAATGTGTATGCATCTCTTCATAACTGATGTGATTTGTCTCTGCTTCAAAATTGAGTCTGCCTATCAAATTTTCAGTATTTCATTCAAAGAAACTCCAACCTGAAGTGTTTTCCCTCCTCACAAGTCTGATAACTTAAGTAACTTCCAGCTTGAAAGAGGAGAAAACCTCATGAAAACAAGAGACTGATATGAAAAACCAGCAGAATCATCATGTATGAGCCCCAGTTGAACAATCAATGAACAAATTCTCATGAATTAATACGATCAGGCAGAGACAAATTTATAGTTGTCGCTATCTTCAGCATCAAGTGACACAAGCTTACTCTTCTTATCGTCACCTTTAGTGAAATCTGCAGAATAGTGAGAAGCAAGAGGAGGAACATTAGCCAAAGCCTGATCTCTGAACTCTTTCCGGATTCCCCAAAGAACCTCTGCACAAATCCTCATGGAAGGTCGTGACTGCCTCACTGGCGCAAGACATTGCAAGGCCAGTCTCATCACTTTCTCCATTGCCACGGTTGAAGCCGGGCTTCTCCACAGCCTTGGGTCCATGGCGATGACAGCATCTCCTTGTTTCAGCATCTGCATTGCCTGCTTATAAACAGATTGCATATTTATATCTGTCCAATCAATTCAATGGCTCTTCAAAGCGCATGATCATTTGCTCATGTTCCCAAATGAAAACATAACTCTTAAATATATTTGTAGGTCTTTTGGGTCATAACATTAGGAGAGTTTGAACATTTGTTATTATTCACATCCAACTTCATTCTTAACTCCTGAAGTAGCCTCAAGTGGAATCTTCGTGTAGGTTTTAGAACTCTCCAAACTTCATTTTTACCTCCTGAATTAGCCTCAATTGGCATGTTCATGTAGGTTTTAGAACTCTCCTATGTGAAACTCGGATAAGCAGGTAAGAATTCTTTACATCTTCTACAAAATTTGATGAATGGGTCAAAGTCCTGAATGTTCTGTTCTACGCACGACCAGGGACTACGTAGCTAACGGGAACCGATACGTAAACTCTTTTTTTTTCCTTTTCTTTTTTTTCCAACCAACGATTCAATAAGCCAGCGGAACTGAATCAGTGACTTCAATTTTCAAGCAAAAGTAAATGAAGGACAGTTAATGTAACGATGATCTTTTAGTCTACTGAATTACAAGAAGTAAACATTCAAAACCTGTGAGGAGCCTCTTACCAGAATAATTGCTACTAACAATGTGTATGCCTAGGATGAATTACTGAAGAAAGTTCATTTTTTCCGTTCTTATATCTCTTTAATATGACAAGATAATCAGTCAGGCCTTATTCTCAAGTAATGTGGCCATCAAGAAGAAGTACTATTCCTAGTTCTCTTGCAGTGCTTTAGGAATGTCTAACATGCTTACCCATCTGATGGTCACTCTCTCACTGAGAGGTTTCTTTGGTTCTAATGGATGTCTCCCTGTCATCAGTTCTACAAGCAATACGCCAAACGAATAAACATCGCTCCTGTCGGTGAGTTGATATGTTCGGAGGTACTCAGGATCCAAGTAGCCAGCTGTTCCTTTTATTCCAGTTGAGATATGGGTTGCTGCAGGATCCTCTGAAGCCAAACGAGCAAATCCAAAGTCAGCAACTTTAGCCCTCAATTTCTCTGTGAGCAAGATATTGGATGATTTGATGTCTCTATGGATTATCGGATGATCTGCCAAATATATAACACAAATTAAGCCTCTCATATGCTTTCACCAATGTTACATGAACAAAAAAGAAGGAAACACTGACTTTTTTTCAGGGACAGATATCAGATCAATTCAAAATTCTATATTGTAACTTATAGGAAACTACTTATATTTTGATAAAATGGACACACCTGTGTACATATGAAGGTAAGTTATTGCATGAGCAACATCAGTTGCAATGTCTAGACGCTCACCAATATCGAGTCCATTTCCCCTTGTACCTGTATTTATGGCAATTGGTTATAAAGTTCTTATCTTGAGTTGCAGATACTTGACAAAGAGAGAAATGCTATAATTTTAAAGCATATTCCAAGAGTTGAGGAGATGAGCAGTTGAGACATTCTGGGAATTTCAGGTGAATAATGAGCCAAGACATGATCCGTTGCCTTCTACAATGTACAAATTCATAAGCAGTAAAAGATTAAATATGCCCTGAAACTTACCGTTCAGATGTTCTCGAAGTGTCCCATTGCCAACATATTCAACAACAATCATCTTTTCATCTCCATGCTCCAAATATCCGTATAACCTCACAAGACTCAGATGCTCAATTCTTGACAGGGTATTTATTTCATTCTTGAACTCAGCCAAGTTCTTGTCATGCGCAGTCTGTGAGCAAACTCCACTACATCAGGCACTTGGGTGGTGAAAAAATCTGATATCTGAAAAATCTGCTTTTCTTGGAAATGGAAAATGTTCAAAAAGAGCATTATGCCATACCTTCCTGGAGCGCTTTATGGCAACAAGAGATCCATCATTAAGCTTGCCCTTATACACAGTTCCAAAACCACCTTCCCCTATTATATTATCTGCAGAAAATTTTCCTGTTGCCCTGTAAAGTTCTTCAAACGAGAAGTTCCCCGTTCCAAGTTGTCCACTTGTGGCGCTAGAAGATGCGTAGGAATTAGAAAACTTCCATGAATTCTTGTTACTCTCAGATGATACATCAGTTGAAACTGCAAAAATTATAGATACATCTCAGTCTCAAGTATCCACAAGCCTTGACCTTTTGGCAAACATAATGAATTCAGTCCGTGAAAAAATGATATGGATGAAATCCAAAACATCAAATTCATCATAATATTAAAGACCAAGACTTACATGAGGATACCAATCTGGCTCTACTTCTATTCCTTCTGACATCACTTCCAGCAACTTCTGCAGCTGGTTTTCTCTTGTCAGAGCGGAAGATTCCAAGAACATTTGCGAATTTCTTGACAAAAGATTTGAAATACTTAAGGGAAGGACTAGTCCTTTGATTGTGCTTGTTTGTATCATTGCCCAAATTCCGATTACTTTGGCTTGAAAGAACCAAATGGCGTTCTGGGGGGTTCTTCATTTGCAGAGATTAAGTCTACCCCGGACCATTTCGGGGGCAAAAATTTAAAAGGAAGACGGTCTTGGGTTTTTGTCGCTTTCATGTATTCTCTTAATCCCTTTTATTTTATTTCTGAGACCAGTTCTCTTAACTTATTTTTTACCAGTCCAATATCCCGACTCAGTAGTTTCTGAAGCTGACTTTTTTTTTCCCCTCACAGTTTAAATTTGAAGTGCCTACCAGTAAGAGCTAACCGTCCTTCAGCAGCCAAAGAGGAAGAGAGAGAGAGAGATTTAGTTGAGATTTTAATATATTTTATAAAATTACCTTACTTTTAAATTAACTTTACAACAGGTTTATTAGTACTTAGGTGGTTAAATTTCAATATGTTTAAAATTAATAAAATATTTTCTTCCATTAGTTTTGAAGCAATATGAGCAAGAAGTGGCAAAACCTACCAGGTCAACGGCTCTTATCTGTACCACAAACACGGCAAATGTGCTAGCCACGCGGTTTCTTGGTCACGCATTGAGAAAGCAAGTAGACTTTTCCATGTAATATTATCTTAGACTCCATTTAAAATTATTGGATCATTTTCAAATTTAAAATTTATTATTTTTTTAAATATTATTATTCTTACCAAAAAAATCTACCATATAAAATTGGTTTTTATATATTATTTGTTTTTTGCAGAGAAGGATCCTTGAAAATTAAGGATTTATTATTTTTATTTGCCATCTCAAGATTTATGAATTCGGTCTTTGGACATGATATTTTTCTTTGAAATTTTCATCACAAGGTTTTATTTTTCTTTTTAACTATTGATTTACTTAACGATTCCTCCTTGCTGTATTCTCATCAAACTTGTTGTTTATATAAATTTATGGAAAGGTAGCTGGATGATGTGTCATCAGAGGAAGCTTACGTCATTATTTGATTGCCGAATGCCTTGATTTGTTCTTGTTCCCCGTGCTGATGGAAGAAATACCGCTGCTTGGCTGGGCTCTCCAAAAACTTCCAGAAGCCAAGAGCCGTCCAAAGAAACACAAGCCGCCAAACGTTTATTTTATTTTAATTTTTTTGACAGTCAACAGAACAGATGCCAGCAAGTGAGCATTTTGCGGCCGGCTTGACATGGCTTTGATTTGAATGTTTGATCCTGCAACCTGCGGGCAACAACTAACTAATCAAGACATGACACCTTATCACTTGTTAATGATTTCCATCTTTTGAGATATCACATTTTGTTGATAAATACTACGTCCAGGTTTTGTTAGATTTTTTTATATCCTATAAATATAATATTTCAATATATTTTGTTTTTCATATTTTTTTTTAAAATAGTCCTTCTGATAGTAGTAGTTCTAATCAATAAACTTAATTAGCAATGATATTTTAGAAAAGACAAAATCTATTTATTACAAATAACTAACTTAATTTAATTTTTTAATTTACTCAAATTAATCAACTAGCTTTTATATTTATAATCAGATGTATATTAAAGGCATATCTGTTGGCAGTTGAGTTGGTTTACTTATTTTTATTTTGTTGATGAAATTGGAAGAAATTGGACTACCTGTCAAACCAAGATTGATCGGAGAAAGAATGGTGAAGTACAGGATTAAGATCAAGCACACTGAGATGAAGGTGCATGCCGGGTGCAAGAAATCAAAGACTCAAGTCTTTCTAACATCTCATTAACTCACTTCAAGCATCTCGATAAAGATACGAATAGAGACAAGCATACACACTATTCATACTTGTGCTTTCACAATGCAGTCTTTAACAATGTTTGATTTAATCAAGGGGTTTTAATAATCCCTCCAAATCTCCGAGGATGATTTATAATTTGCTTCAATCAATGGTTTGTAATGCAAGGAAAATTGCAGTAGGCCAACTTCAAAACAAGTCTTGAGAAACGATCAACTAGAGATAAAAAGAACATTAATTAAAACTAGCAGCTCCTCAGAGTGGATTTCAATATTTGAAATCATTGCCCTCAGAAAGTACACAGCGCCACGGACAAAATCATTAGCGAGATAGAATTGGAAGTAAATCTAACAGTTATCGAGAACCAGCAACGCACTGAAATCTCTGATTCAAGAAGGGGACCTATTAACAACAAAAGAGACACCCAAGAAACAGACATAAAAACAGAAGCAATTTGAGCATACCGGGAGGCATTTCTAATTTCTGACTTCTAAGATAGTATTTCCAGTACATATTTGTGTTACATAGAGCTTTTTTCCGACACAAGATTCTTCCAATTGTTCATCTCCGCCGATAAATAATTTTAACCACCAAAATCATAGAGCATCCTTCCCTGCCTCTTAAGCGCATAAACCATATCCATGGCAGTAAGAGTCTTCCTCCTAGCGTGCTCAGTGTAAGTCACGGCATCGCGAATCATGTTTTCGGAGAAAATCTTCAACACACCTCTCGTCTCTTTGTAGATTAAACCACTTATTCTTTTAACGCCTCCTCTTCTCGCCATCCTTCGAATCGCAGTCTTCGTAATGCCTTGGATGTTATCATGGAGGACCTTACGATGCCTCTTTGCTCCTCTTTTACCCAGACCCTTGCCTTTTTTCCCACAAATAGACGTTTTCTCAGAATTTCTCAAAGGATCAGTGAAAGAAGGGAGGCAGATTTGAGATTTGAGAATTTTTGGGGTTTGCCTTCTGTGTTTGAGTAATGGGACATTATTTGCGCTTTTTGGGGTATATATTGAGGCGGGAAAGTCCAGATTTGAATCTCCCGCCGTTTCGCGTATTGATCGGTACCATTAGATCTATGATCGATTGAGAGCTCAAAATGACGATCCGTGCATATCGATATGGATGATTATGGAACGTCGATAGATAAGTTTCGACGGAGGAGATTGGCTTTTCGGCCAAGGTATGAATCCATCTATTTCTCTTATCTTGGCTTTGGCTATCTACGTGATGATAACCCGCACTTTTTTTTTTTGGGCAGCCTTTTTCTATGCTAATGTTATGTTTCATGGAGCATTTTGTCCTCTTTCTTTTTTCTTTTTTTTTTTTTAGGCTACAATAACGTAGATAGCCAAAGCCCCCCGCCCCTGGGGGAACTTCTATCCTGATTTCTTGCGTGGGGTTCTTAACCGTAATCATTTCATGGAGCATTTTGTCCTTCTTCTTTTTTTTTTGCGCTATGCATATTTATTTTTTTATTGGAAAGAATGTTTTCGAGATGATTAAGTACTCAATATGAATGCTTCTCTCAACAATTAAAATCTTATTTTGTCATGTTTTGTTCTATTAAGATTAGTCCTACTCTGTGCTATGATTACGGGACTAGTTTTAGTTAGTGCTCTAAATATAGATTGGAAGCTCAAATGTTATAGAATTTGGACCTTAATAACATTCAACCTTAAGTGGATCACGATCAGTCATTCTTCCTTATTAGAAGTGATAAAACGGGCTAAAAAGACCGCTTTCTGATGGGCTTTCATTTTACGAACCCACCCCGCTAAGGGTTGGGTGGATGGTTGGTGAGTTGACTCGCCGACCTTCATCTTTTTTAAAAAAATCTTTTTACATATATATTTAAAATTTTTAAATTAAATTATAAATTTTTATAAACCAAATATTTCTTATGTTTATATTGCCATATAATTATATAATTAAATTAGTTTCAAAAGTTGAAATATAAACATACAATTCATTGCTAATAGTTATTTTATTATTATAAAAATAGTAAAACAATAAAAAAAATGAAAAATCAAATTTAGAATCAAAGTTTCTAACAAAATACAAAATTATATGTAAATTAAGTGAAAATAATAAAACTTTTTTTATTAAAATAAAAATAAAAATTTTTAAAAAAGGGCGGGCTGGCTAGCCTACCAAAGCCGCAGGTTAGTAGGCTGTAGGTTGGCAGGTGCTAGCTTAAAAAAAATCATATCAAAATAGTCCCTATTTTTTTAATTCTATCCCTTAGTGCACTGGTCCTACTATGGTTACGCCTCCCACTGCTCCGAATCCCTCCTTGAAAACTAATATAATTTTTATATTTCAAATACAAAAAAAAAATTATTTAAATTTTAAAAATTGTATGTTATTTTTTAATATAGTATTAAATTGGTGCTAAATTGACATCTTAAGTTAAGTATAAACAAATATAATATTCCCATTTTTTTCAATCTTATTATAATGCCATCTCTTTTAAGATTTGGATGCAATGGAAATTATATATGATAATAATGTTGTGGATAAAACTTCAATTATGTTCCGAAATAAAAATAAAAGTTATTGTTGTTACAATCAAGTGATAATTAAAAATAATTAATAAAATAGTAAATGTATAATTGAGCAAATTAAAAAAGGATCTTGATTTTGGATCTTTGGAATTTCATTACTAAAGTCTGGAGGTTTAATTGCTAGCTTACCCCCAGCGACTTGTTTGACGTCATGCCACACACGCAATCCAAGAAATATATAACGTAACTGAACCTTAGAAAAATTAATGGTTTTAATTGTGAAGCGCCTGTGCTCATTCAAGACGTCATCCATGGCACTTTTGTAATTGAAATTCCATATAAAAAAAATTAAAAAGAAAGATCACATGTAGGTAAGGGACAAATGATTATGCTCGGATCAGAGCCCCATAATTTACAGAAGGCAAAATACGAAAGATGATCAGACTCGGGTAAATAAATATTCTCTTCAGTATTGGAACGGTTTCAAATAAAAAGTAGTTTCAAAGATAAGCAAAAAGAAAGGGAGAAAGAGGCAACAATCGAAGCTTTTGATTCCACACTAGCTATGTTATATATGTTCTGATTGGTTAGTTTAATATCTTTATTAGTAGTAATTAATAATGTTCCAATATATCATTATCATACTCAAAACCAAACACAAGTATGAAGCTTTCATGAAGATGCTTATTTATTTTTGACGAAGAAACTTGCCTTTGATGGAGGGATTACTTCGCACCTTCCTCCTACCTAACTAAATTGCTCATCGCCCTCCTTCCATGTCAATAAATGAAATTAAACCCCTCACGAGTCATGATTACACCACTCGAATCCTGTAACCAGC